ATTTAGAGTTTTTGATTTACACTAAATAAAAGTAAGGTGTTTTCTTTCTATTAGAAAGAAATAAAAGATGAAAAGTTTTGAAAAGGTAAAAAGTCTCCAAATCTCAAAATTTGAGAGACGCATGTTTTTGTTCACTGTTCGTCACTTTAACTCAGTGTTGGGGTTTTAGACTTACCAGAGTCTACTCTGGGCCCTTTTGTCTCCTCCTCTCTTAGCTATTATCACATACTTGACCTCCACAGGTCAGGAAAAGGGAAATCGAAAGCAGGGTCACATTCTACCAGAGAGGCAAGTTATTATGCTGACCGGCGCACACTTTTGAGAGGAAATCAGTTATGCTGACCTGTCACCCATTGCTTGACAATAGTTTTACATCCTGTAATGTCATTCTAAGAAGATATATATATATATAATGTACACACACACACACACACATATACAAAATATATCATAAATCATAAACAACTTTTACATGTATGTGAATACTACCTATACCTGAATTATTGTTAAGATTTTATATCACATCATATAAAGGCCAAAGTTAAAATAAAATAAAAGTTAAAATATGGTTATTTCTATGTAAATATTATGATATTAAACAACAAACACATGCAAAATTTTCAAAATACCTAATCTTGTATAATTTTAAAGCATGTTTACCTGTGGGGACTTTAATTTAGCATATATATTTGAACATACACACAATGGGAAAAGCATCTGAGGAGTATTAATAATAACTATAATACATAACCTTAAATATAATTAAGTTTTCTATCTTTCTGTCAAACAGACCATGATGCACAGAGAATTAAAGCATAAAGGAAAAAGTCATTAACAGCCTCTGTAATTACACGATTGTTCATCTTGTGCACTTCTATTGCTCTTTTCTCTGCTTCTGCTTCTTTTTTCCTTGCTGAAAGATATGCCCAGGAGACACTGGATCACATATCCTGTGTGTGTTTGCGTGTGTATGTGTGTGTGTGTGGTGTCATGGAAGTGAATCTGAGAGCGCTGTGCTTTAATAAGCGCTGCTGTGTCGTATCGTGTGACCTCCTGGTCGTGGCCCCAGGGACCCCCATTCTCATTACAAACATAATCCATGGTGCTTTAGTGCAGACGAGGACAACTTTTTAAATGTCTGTTTTATCAAATGAAATTATTTTTTAAATCTTAACTAATTTGTTTCACTTGTAAACCACTGAATTTCCTTCTTTGATTTCTGAGAAAAACTAAAGGATGTGTTTCATTGAATCTGAACATGTCTGAGCATTTTCTTGACACATTACAGTCCCGCATCTTATTTCTTGGTTAAATGAGTCACATCTTCAATTTCTGCTTTATGTTAATGATTGCAACGTTGTCAGATTGTGTTATAGCACTATATATATATATATATACAGTGAGGCATTTTATTGTAAAACCCAACAGTCAATTTTATCAAATGAAATGTGTAGTTAACTCAAAATTTACTGAAAGATAATTCTACTCATTTGAAAAGAGTTTTTAACTCAGTGTTGAAGGTAATGAGTTAATTAAATACCTCATTACTTCAACTTAAATGGAGTAAGTCCACAGTAGTCAGTTTTTGAACTCAAATAGTTTGTAGCAATCAATTTCCTCAAATGGTTTGAGTTGCCTTAACTTATTGGGTTTTACTGTGCTCAAATTGCTTCGTTTACTCAAATGGATTAAGTTCACAGTACCCAGTACGATTAGTTTTTTAACTTAAAGGGTTTGTTGCAATCGGCTTCCTCAAACGGTTTGAGTTACCTCAACGTATTGGGTTTTACCATGTAGTAAAGCGTTTTCTGTTGTATCTTCAGGTGCAAAGATATCATTGTTTTTGGTTGCTTCCTGTTTCGCTGTCAAGTGCTGCTCATACCGTGTTTTGTAGTGGTCTGACCTCACAGTTTCACATCGGTCGGGTGTAGACTCACTCATTCTTGTAACCGTAAAGTTTAACGGTGAGTTTCCTGCTTAGACGTTTAAAGGGATAAAATAGGATGCAACGTATGTTAATATGATCATAAACTAAAAACCAATTCAAACATTGTTATTTATTCCTACTAGAAAAAGGTTAATTGCATCAACATGTCAACTAATTGTCATTAGATTATAAGTAGACTGTTGGATTGGGGTTAGTGTTAGTTGACATGTACATGCAAAGTTTCTTATAGACAGTTTAATGTCTGGTAAAGGAGCAGTACTAGAAAAAATATTATAGAAATGCATAGTAAATACTATCCATTGTATTACCATACTATACTTGAGTTTATATGCTTTGGTAAGTTGCTGTGGTACTACATATGTACCCATAAATATGCACTAACATTTCTACAACAATATACTACAATACACAACATTTTACAGTTTAATAAAGGGACTAAGCCAAAAAGAAAATGAATAAATGAATAATGCACTTTAATATAGTATGATTCAAAAACACAATAGCATTTACTATACGTTACTACAGTGTTTTGGTCACACTTTACAATAGGGTTTCATTGTTAATTGTAAGCAAATATATTTTTAATAACACGAACTAATGATGATCAATAATTGTATATCATTATTAGTTCAACATTTAGGCCTACTAATGCATTATTAAAATCCAAATTCATGCTTGTTAACAGTAGCTGATGTGCTGTGAGTTAGCATGAACTGATAATGAGCAACTTTATTTTCAGTAATAGCGTTAACAAAGGTGAATTAACATGGTAATGAATGTAATGTTCATGTTCGTAAATACAATAACTAACACTAAACAACCTCATTATAACTAACCTTGTTTAAAGGTTTAGTATATTTGAAATAAACAAAAAAAGTCTTCAGATACCAAAAACAGCAGGTTAAATTTATTTTCCCAGGCCAAAAAATAAAAAAATGTTGCAACCACTGCTCTTTCCATGATTCCCATGGCTGTGAATACTCAGCTAATATGATTAAGATTAAATGAAGTTCAAAAAGAGAAGAACAGAATAAACAGTAGAGGAAAATCGAGACATTCCTTATTAAAGGACCAAGACAAAATGTTCCGCCAATGGCCCACGTGGTTTTAGGGCACCTAAACATCGGACCAGTGTGGAAAGCCATTTTAACATTTGGTCTTCATAACTTTACTGTAGTTGACCTATCTGTTTTCATATTACTAGTAGTCTACTAGTTATCACTTTTTCAGTTTAACAGATCAAATGTTACAAGTAACAATTTTTAAATTAATTGCATGTTTATCTAAAGCAGGGGTCACCAGTCTCGGTCCTGGAAGGTCAGTGTTCCTGCAGGGTTTAGCTTGCCTCATCAAACCTGCCTGGATGTTTCAAGTATACCTAGTGAGACCTTGATTAGCGTGTTCAAGTGTGTTTGATTAGGGTTGGAGATAAAATCTGCAGGACACAGGCCCTCAAGGAACAGGTTTGGTGACCCCTGATCTAATGATTGGATATTAATTATCTGCAGCACTTCTTGGTAGTAGGGTGACGAGGTGGCGCAGTAGGTAGTGCTGTCGCCTCACAGCAAGAAGGCCGCTGGTTCGAGCCTCGGCTGGATCAGTTGATGTTTTTTTCTGTGAAGTTTGCATGCTCTCCCTGTGTCTGCGTGGGTTTCCTCTGGGTGCTCCGGTTTCCAACACAATCCAAAGACATGCGAAATAGGTATATTGGGTAGGCTAAGTTGTCCGTAGTGTATGAGTGTAAATGAGTGTGTATAGATGTTTCCCAGAGATGGGGTTGCAGCTGGAAGGGCATCCGCTGCACAAAACAAGTGCTGGATAAGTTGGCGGTTCATTCCGCTGTGGCGACCCCGGATTAATAAAGGGACTAAGCCAAAAAGAAAATTTCTTGGTACTATTCCAGTTATCGTTGATAGCTATTCTTCGGAATTAGGATTAATATATTGCACTATAAAAAATTATCTGTTTGATTAATTGTAATTATATTAATTATATAATCGATTATATTAACGGTGGCTCAGTGGTTAGCACTGTCGCATCACCGCAAGAAAGTTGCTGGTTCGAGTTCGGGTTGTCAGTTGACATTTCTCTGTGGAGTTTGCATGTTCTCCCCATGTTTGTGTGGGTTTCCTCCGGGTGCTCCGGTTTCCCCCACAGTCCAAAAGACGTGCTATAGTGAAATGAATAAGTTAAAATGGCTGCAGTGTATGTATGAGTGTGAATGTGAGAGTGTATGAATGTTTCCCAGTACTGGGTTGCGGCTGGAAGGGCATTTACTGCCTAAAACATGCTGGATAAGTTGGTGGTTCATTCTGCTGTGTTGACCTCTGTTTAATAAAGGGACTAAGCCGAAGGAAAATGAATGAATGAATGGTTTTTTAAAGGTGGGATGTGAATTATTTACAGCACTTCTTAGTAGTATTCATCGCTATTAGCTATTCTTCAGTATTAGGATTTTATTTATTACACTATAAAAATGATCTGTTATATTAATTATAATTATATTCATTATAATTATTATTATGACTTGTTAACTTTCACTTTATTGAGATTTTAATTTTATTTGCCCTTTTGAATTGCATTATCCGATGTTGATTTTTAATCCAACATTTGATGTTTAAAATTTAACTATAGTTTAACAAAGTGTCTTTTAAAATATTATGTTATTTATTGTTCAGGGTTGAATAGTACTAAAAATAAAATACAAAAATAGATACAATAGGATTAGAAATAAAAAAAACTTAGATCGTGCACTCAAGATTTTAGGTAGGCTAACCATAAATGTTAGTTGGGCTTGCCATATTACTTGTTCCATCGGAGAAAGTGAAGATGACTGAATGTACAATTTGCATAACTGGAACAACCTACAAAGCGCTTTGCACGATTTCATTGCCTCTTCATTTACGGAAATATTAAGTATGCACTTAAAATCTCCACTGTAATTGGCGACTGGAGAACTCCGTCACCTCTGACAGCACTCTCGCCCTCTGATTGGCCACTAGAGAACGCCCACTCGACTCCGCCCTGTTGGCTTCGCTGCTTTCTTGTTCCAGTACTGATTTTTAACCGAGCAGTGTCACGACCATATCATACAGCGAGAAAAGCGGGATTGTACTGCGTTTAAGCGGTTTCTGCGAGAGGATACGAAACAGCCGCTTCTCGTTTGTGAACATCTGGGCAGAGATGTAACAGTTTCCCGGCATTGGCGTTGTGTTTTTGTTGCTTTTGTTGCAATTTGTTGTGGGGACCTCCCTAAAGCCTCAACTCAGGAACTCTGACATTCCCTGTCTTGGCAGCTACACTGTTTTCCTTTTGCCGCAGTAAGTCTAGAGTTTATAGATGATACATAAGAGCAATTTTCCGCATTTTACAGTGATTGTAATATTTTTTTCTCTGTCTGATGAGTTGTCATAGCCTTCTAAGACCAGCTGCTTCTTATTACAACGCGTTTTGCATTATGTTTAGTGCTTTAATATTAGTTTATTAAATTAATTATCCTCAGTTCAATTGCAGGGCACAAAAGCTCTACTTTAGAGGCAGCTCAAAGTACTATGTTGAACTGCATGCTTTTTTTTTCTGAAAAAGTTAAACAAAACAAAGTTTTATAATATTGTTGAGTTATTTACTAATTCAAAATGGGTTTTAGAGATTTTTTTTCAGCACAGCAATCATGAATTTTATGAGATGAGGATATTAATACGTTAATATCAGACGTTTTAAATATTAAAAGTACCACATTGTAAGTTTAAAATGGCCTCAAACATATGCATCATAACCATACAGTTGCAAAGTGCAATAATTTCTCTTGGTGCTAATCGCTATCTTGATACTAATCGTTGAACTGCTATAAAAAGGTTTTCAGTTCCGCTAGTTTACAGTTCATTTGTACTGTCACACATCTGCACACATGTGTTTGTTGCCATCAGAAACATTTCTGTGTGTTACAGTGTGCAGAAAATGGCAACTGCTCTCAGTGGACGCCCACCTAACAATCGGAAAGGCCGTATTTTAGGCATTATTGACGCCATCCAGGACGCTGTCGGACCCCCAAAGCAAGCGGCCGCGGACCGCCGGACCGTAGAGAAGACATGGAAACTCATGGACAAAGTGGTAAGTGTGTGTTTACAATCTTCCTGGCGATGACGCAACAGCGCTTCCTCTGCTCTCCCGCTCTGAGAGACTTTTCCACGAAGTCTCTTGTTTGGAAGCGTTTGTTTGATACATTCTAGCAAACTGTTTACTGAGTGGCGACAAGACCGAGGAGTTTGTTGTTAGCTAAAATCAACCATCTAAAAGGCATCTATCTATCTATCTATCTATCTATCTATCTATCTATCTATCTATCTATCTATCTGTCTGTCTGTCTGTCTGTCTGTCTGTCTGTCTGTCTGTCTGTCTGTCTGTCTGTCTGTCTGTCTGTCTGCCTGCCTGTCTGTCTGTCTGTCCGTCCGTCCGTCCGTCCGTCCGTCCGTCCGTTCGTTCGTCCGTCTTTCTGTCCGTCTTTCTGTCCGTCTGTCTGTCTGTTCATCTGTCTACTTTTCTGTCTATCTGTCTGTCTGTTTTTCTGTCTGTCTGTCTGTCTGCCTGCCTGTCTATCTGTCTATCTGTCTTTCTGTCCATCTGTCTACTTTTCTGTCTGTCTGTTCGTAAGTCCATCCATCCATCTATCCATCCGTCCATCTGTCTGTCTGTCTGTCTGTCTGTCTGTCTGTCTGTCTATCTATATCCATCTATCCATCCATCCGTCCATCCATCTATCTAACTAATATTTATTTATTTATCTATTAACCTAAGGACCTTTCAGTCTGTCTGTCTGTCATTTATTGATTATATAGACAATTGTCACAGAAGTATGTTTGCTGCAAATGTCAATCATAAAATAATTAAATAAATGCATTTATGGATAAGTTCCATATATGGAAAAGTCACTCAATGTGAGAGTACAGAGGAAGCACTTGCGTCCCGCATGCATACTTTTATTTATGCAATTTTTAAAATGTAACAAAACTAACATTACCCCATTCATCATCCATCATCTACTCCACAAATATCAATTGAAAGATGTTAGAAAAATCACCTAACTTTTTAAAATGTTTTTCATTTAATTCCTATTTTTTTTTATTCATATTTTTTCTGGAAAAATTGCTGGTTGTTTTTTTTTCAGAAGTTCTCTTCTTTATTTTAGGTGAGGTTATGTCAGAACCCCAGACTACAGCTGAAGAACAGTCCTCCATACATCCTGGATATTTTACCCGACACATACCAGCACCTTCGACTGATTTTGTGCAAATACGAGGAGAACCAGAGACTCACCCAGCTGAGCGAGAATGACTATTTCAAAGTGTACATCGACAGCCTGATGAAGAAATCCAAAAGAGCAATTCGCCTCTTTAAGGAAGCCAAAGAGAGAATGTACGAAGAGCAGTCACAAGACAGGTAGGATGCTTTTTATTTCACTCTTCTGGTCAGCGCTTGTAAAAAAAAAAGTCTGTTTTTGTTCATTGCAAATTGAAAGCAATAGAGCAGAGATATAATTGTGCTCAACATAGATCATGCATGAGGTGTCTGTTTCAGCATCAGCAGATGTTCTTAAAGGTCATCTTCAAGCGCTATCATGGTTGTCAGTCTCATAACTCGTACGCCTTTTCTGTTTGACACTGATCTGTTGCCCTTTGAACGTTTTGCCGGACAGATGCAGACATTGGAGAGGTCAGGTCACATGAATGGTCTGTTTGTTGATTTTCCTCTGGTGCTTCATGTCAGCTCCAGTCAAATCGTATGGACAAAATAAAATTCATATTATACTCCATTGTTTATTATGGTGTCACAAAATAGATACTTTTTCATAATTTATATGAGTGCATTTTTGGGAAGGCAGACGAACATGAATAACAGCATTGTGAGAAAGTTGCAATCTTGAAAATACAATGTTTATATTTTGCATTATATTTAGCATTAGTGTTTATTTTGTACGTTGGAAATGTAATCATTCATTTTTGAAAAGTTTTTTATATGTTATTATTATTTATTTAATATCTCTTCACTTTTAATAAAATAATTGATAAAAAACAAGTTCTAAAAAGGTGAGAAATATGACCATATATGAATAAACACATTTCTGACTAGGGCTGCATGATATTGGAAAAATCTGACATTTCCCTGCGATATGACTATAGTTTCACCAGATGAATTGAACAGCTCTATTTGGAAAGATTTCAATAACTTAGATAAATTGGAATGATCAAGTCTTTTTCTATGCAGTGCATTTGCATAAATCATAATAAATTACAAGCATGTATAACTACATCAGAGCAAAGATAAAAGCAAAACAAACAGTGCTTTATGGTTTTCCGGAGAGTCTAACATCATCCACGCATTCAGAAATAAAGGTACAAAATCTGTCACTGGGGCAGTACCCTTTTAAAAGGTACACCTTTGTATCATAGAGGTGGACATTAGTACCTTTAGGGTACACTTTTGTACCTTTAAGTTACAATGAGGTACACATTTGTACTTTTGGGTATTAAAATGTACTTGTTAGGAAGAAAAATGTAAAGGTACCGCCCCAGTGATAGATTTTGTACCTTATTTTCTGAGTGTGCAGGTACAAAAATGTAACAATCAACATAAAATAGCATGGCCGTCATTGTATGAATTATTTAAAAAATATTATAATAATGATTTTCGGTGCAATAGCACACACTCTCAGAAATAAAGATATGTGAGCTGTCACTAAGCCAGTACCTTTTCAAAAGGTACGCATTTGTACTTGAAGGGTCCATATTGGTACCTCAAAGTATAATTTATAGTACCAAAAAAATTTAAGACAAACATATTTGTACTTTTTAGGTACTAATATGTACCCTTGAGGTATTAATATGGACCTTGTAGGTACAAATATGTACCTTTTGAAAAGGTACCAACCCAGTGACAGCTTGCGTATGTAGCGGAAGCCAGCTAGTAGGTGCTGTGCAGGTAAACCTCACTCCTCTGATCTCTAAAGGTGCTCTAGCGACAGATGCTAGAGACCATGGTCTTTAGCCTCCTTGTTAGAGCAACCGACTCGCATGAGAAAGGTCGCCGGTTCGATACCAGTTCGGAGCGGGTTGGGTGGCGTAGGACCGGCGGGCTTACATTGGTGCCGTGACCCGGATGGAAGTGAGGTTTAGGAGGGTGAGTGTAACGGAGGCCAGCTTGTAGGTGCCGTGCAGGTAAACCTCACTCCTCTGATCTCTAAAGTTGCTCTAGCGACAGATGCTAGAGGCCATGGTCTTTAGCCTCCTTGTTAGAGCAACCGACTCTCATGCGGAAGGTCGCCGGTTCGATACCAGCTCAGAGCGGGTTGGGTGGTGTAGGACCGGCGGGGTTATACGTACCTTGATTTCTGAGAGTGCTGTGGTTAGTGCCTCCCATCTCTCTTTCCCACTTCACTTTCTCTCAACCTACTGACCTGTCAAAAATAAAAGGCAAACATGCCAAAAGGATAAACATAAGATAAATATAATAATATTAATATTTAATTATTTATGTCTTTTATCTTATAATGTTTAATAAATAATCCAATCCTGTGGTGTGACAATTGCGGATACACACATTTTGGTATCAATGTGTAAAATTAAAATGATATATTGTGCAGCCCTGTTTCTGATTATATACTTTAAAATGTAAAAAATTAGTCGATATAATAACATTTGAAGTGGTTCAAAACCTTTTATCAAAGTTGTCCTAAAACTATTCAACAACGCCAATTCTTATCTTATAGACAATTTTGAGAAACTTTTTGGATCCACTTTAAATTACTCTTTCTATATATAAATTATTAATTTATTGAAGTCACTGAACTGGTGTTGTGCTGTGGTATATATATCATTATCAGGATACTGGAGGACTTCTATTGCGATAAGAGACTGGCTGTAACTCTGATCAAGAGCAGAAGCCTTAATGAAAGAGGCTGGCTGATCAAACCTCTTGGTGGGCCGTAGAGACTCTGTTTAGGGTGAGAACAAAGTGAGATTACTAACAGAGCAAGTGTGTCTCGAGCATAAGCTGACACATGCAGAATACTCTCCCCGGGGGCCATTAGAGCTCAGACATGAAACACGGGCCTTGACTAAAGAGGAAAATCTTAGCATTCTGTTTTACTGACAGCCAAGCGTAACATTCCCAAGCATCTGGTTTAGAGCGTAGCCTCACATCAATTAAACTGCATTTAAGCCACTGACTATTTGGGTAAATACTGCACACAGTTTGATACCGCCAGAAAATAATAGCGTTTCAGCTGCTGGTTTATATCCCAGCGCTGTTGATTGGCAACTCTGGCTTGGGATTTTGGCAGAAGAGTTTAATTTTAGTAATGCTTTCGATCCCTTTCTAACCAGATCCTGCAGGGCTGAGATGATTGAGTTGAAAGTTTATTTTTTTGGGAAGGGAAGAGGTAAAGCTGCATTTGGTTTAGCCCACGGACGCCAACTGACAGGCCGTCCTGACACGTTGCTGTATCTAGAAGTGGTGACACAGGCGTTGGACAGGAGCAGGGATATCGGCTGACAGGCCGTCCATGTCTGCTGTGTCATTCTGACTTAAATCTCAGGGGAGAAGAGAGGCTCTGCTTTGCCTTCCAGCCTTTGGGTCCCTGTCCCACACAAAGGGGGCGACAGGGGTCAGGTTGTAACGTGTTCTTTTGGAGATTGCGGACAGAGGAAGGGAGGAAGAACAAAAGGAGATGAAATTGAGATGAGTGCAAGGCTTATGCTGGTTGATGGAGCTGACATTAGTGTGGTCTGTTGTGGTAAATTATGCTTGATAATCATGCATACTTGTTTTTGTGGCTTGAAAAGTGATGCTCTTTTTTTTTTTTTGCTCATTTAAATAGGTTGGCAGGGTAACATGATCTAGCTTCATCTCATAGAGGAGGTTTTGGTGCTAGGATTGGTGAAAGGCATCAGAAAACATTGATCAGTACGATCAAAATATTGTTTTGAATAATATATAAGTTTCTCATGTGCATGAGGCAAAGACGAGATTTCAAATGGTGGGATTCATATTAAATAAATGTACAAAAGTGATTTTATGTACATAAAACGCATACTGAATGCAAGTACAGTCTATCAAATATGGGTAAACTATGTTTTATTGTTATTCATGCAGATGTTTAGGTAAAAAAGAAACAATATACCATTGATACTATATACCAAAAGAATAATTGTGGAGGGGGAAGCTAATAATTCTGATTTCAACTGTAACTGTATTATGATAAATAGTAGTGCACAAATATGGGATGGGGGGGAGGGAGGGGGGGGGGGGGGGGGGAGTGAACAGTTCTGAGGTTGAATGAGACATATATACAAGACATAATACAATGAATTTTGTATTGCATAAAGTCCAATTAAATTAAAGTGAATTTTAAGCCAGTTCATGTGTGGGATATATATAAATATATATATTGTGCATATACATAAGATTAGTCCACACTGAAGCCAAATCTGGAGCTTAATAACAAAATAACTTAGGATAATGGTCTAAAAACCAGTACAACCAAATTTGTTATAGAAAAATATTAAATAAAAATTTGAAAAAGAGGAAAAAAATTTAGTTGAAATTTTGTAATTTTTAGCAATATTTTCCTTGAATTTAAGTGTATTCTCTTTCAATTTCTAAATATGTTTGATGACTAAAATATTATTTTATTAAATATATCTGTTTAATAAATGCACTAAAATACATTGCCTATATTCACTGAGAAATGCATAAAAATTTTCATTTTCAAAATGGGGTGTGCTCAACTACGCTGAGCTCTGTATATACAGATACATTACATATATAAAATAGACAAATAAAATGTATATAGATAATTTTAAATTATAAAAACTTTTGGTTTTTATATTATATAATTTTGGTGCAATGCTATATTTATTTATTTTTTAAATAAATATTTTGTATAATTTACTAAAACTACACATCTCATGAAGCATATAGTAATTATCTTAAGTCAGCAGAAGAAACATTCCTTGATATTGAGCCCACTGAATGAGATGTGCAAAAAGGATAGAGGAGGCAGTAAGACAGCAGGGAAACAGGAGAAAGAGGCCCGTGGAATAGCGAGTTCATTCACAGTGCAGTAGGGCTGCGGGGAGACATCAGTACAGAGAGCTGGTCCCAGGCCTGCAGCCAGGCATCTTCACTGAGGCCCCGCATGTGCTTTAGTAATTACACTGCAGCTCCTGAGACTAACAATAGGACTCTCTCTTTCTGTCTCTCTCTCCCCCAGCACCCTCCTGCCATAAATATCATCTCTGCCATGCAACTTTAGACAGTCTGTGGAAGAGTCCCCAAACAACTTTAAATGTGTAGTTTTAGCGTGTTGCAAATTTTACTCTATTTTAGATGTCTGCAGATATGCACAGAAAAAAAACAAAACTTTTTTTATTTTTACATGC